TTTATAAATAATGATATTATTGACTTTGTTAACAAGGCTTCTAATCTCGGTATAATATTACAAAATGATTTAGAATGGGATTCTCAAGTAAATTCCCAATGTGGAAAGATTTATGCTGGATTACGACATTTAAGGCTAACGGCTGCTATGTTATCGGTATCAACCAAAATCAAGCTTTTCAGCTCTCTTTTGAAACCACATTTTTTGTATGGACTTGAACTGATTTTAAATGCTTCTGCTAATGCTTTGGCTCGTTTAAGAGTTGCCTTAAATCACTGCGTACGTTGGGTTTTCAATTTGTCAAGATACGCTAGAGTAACACACTTACAACGGCAGCTTTTGGGCTACCCATTTTATGAATTCTTTAAACTGAGAAGCTGTGCTACCTTATTCAAAATTATACATCATGGCCCAAACTATCTTCATGAAAAATTACAACCATTCAGAAGCGCTCGAGTAAGACACTTCGTAGTACCGCAGCATAACTCCTCTCATTACGGTAGTACCTTTTTTGTTCGTGCAATTATACTATGGAATCAGCTTCCTACTTACATTCAATCTATACAATCAGCTGCAGGATCCTACCGTGAGAGTTTGAACTGGTTCAGTGGAGGGAATTGAATGGAATGGAATGAGCAAAGGTTTGAGGTTTGGAATAGCATATATTTAAAAGTAGTTTTGTATTATATTAAGTTATGTTTTGAACCTTTTTGTTAAAGTGGATTGAATTGCATTTGTGGTGTGAACAACGAAGAAACCGATTGTAGAAATGTATAAGAGAAAACTCTTACTCTACAAGTATACAAGTAAATAAATAAAATAAATAAAATATGGAGATCTTTCGAATATTTCCTGATGTCTAGTAAGGATGTTTGAAAGAATATCCTGTAACTTATGCAACGTTTCCTGAACATCTACAAAACTTAGGTTTTACAAAATTTCCTCAACTTCTACGAAGTTCTCTGAATTTATTCCAAATTCCATATTTTTTTCCATTTCTTTAAATTCTACAAAGATCTCTGAACGTCTTTGCACTTCTGGAACGATTAATTAATTTATCTTTATTAGGGAGGCTTTCAGCCTGGGGCTGGTTCGCCTCCATAACTTCTGGAAAGACACCTAAGACATTTACAAATATTCTTGAACGGCTAGAAAGTACCTTGAATTTAGCGAAGTTCCCAAAACCTCCAAGAAGTTCATGGAGCTTTTTTGGAGTAAGATCTCTGAAAAACTGCAACGAAGTTCCCTAAACTGAGGCGAAGAACCCTGAAGCTCTTTGAAGTTTGTTGAACTATTTTTAGATCTTTTAAAAAATTCCCTGAACTTTTTGAAAATTGGTTACACTTATATGAAGTTTTACGCAGCTCCTCAAAATGCTACGAGATTCGAAAATCTTCTACAAATTTTGCTGTTGAATTTCCACAACTATTCCAAGTCCATGAGGCTAAAAAAAACTGAAATTATGTAAGGTTCCCGATTATTAATGAGCTTCCCTAAAATAAAAATATGTTACTTTAACTTCTACAAAGCTCCTCAAATTTAAATGAATTCTCTACTTCTACGCAGTTTTCAGAACTTTTCGAAGTTCCTTTTTTCTACGAATTTTTCTGAAGGTCTATGAAGTTCCCAGAATATCTACCAAGTTTATTTAATTTCTACGATCTTCCCTGAACTTCTATTTGAAGTTTTACGAAGTTTCCACAAGGTAAAGAAAAATTCCTGGACAATTTGTAGAGCCTGAAGACGTCATATTGCCATCGATTTGACATTATATTATTTCTCAAAATTGTTTCTTCTAGTCCAGAACATAACAAAAGTAATCAACATCAGTGTTGGGAAAATATCAAAAAATCAAATCTTACCAACGCGCAAGATCACGCTTGATTTTCGTAGACAAAAATCAACAAGAAAACAACTGCGGTTGATTTTGCAAGCTGTGATATCGCAGCTCGGAATATCTAGCTAACAAAACTCACCAGCTGCTCGTCTCAACAAACTGTGGTGAGATTGAGTTTAATGAATTTGCTTTACACCCGAATGCAACCGAAACTTCCATAACGGCTTGCAGCAGTCCCTTCGCGTCTGCCATCGGTGAAGATTAAAAAGAGATAGCAAACTATGCTTTCTCTTTCTCAAAAAACGATGTGCAATGGAATCATTTTTGTGTCGAGTCAACTCTCAGCTTGGATTTTGCACATTGTGAATAGTCTCGCAATATCAAAGGAGCTTGTAAAATCAATATCAAGCATGATATTTTGTTCCAATATCACGCGTGATATTGCGAGCGCATGAGAGCGAAAAAATATCAATTGATTTCTGATTTTGCCAACACTGATCAACATAAAGGACTTTAAAAAATCTTTGTTGGTGGTTCAATTTTATTAATCACTGATAAATAGTAGCATTGAACTTAAGCCTGAAAGAATACCAGTGAGTCAAAAACAAACACCAAAAATTCTGGAGGGGGTCTAGATAATTCTGGAGGGGCCTGGCCCCCTGACACCGCCCTTAGCTACCCCAATGGTTAAAAGTGACATTTCGAAAGTTATTTCTTATGTTCAAAAATCCCTCTGTTACCAATCGGAGGGTTTTCGAGTAGAACTCAGCCACGGTTGTCAAAATTTAACTTCTTGTCTGTCAGAAATAACCACGCTCGGATAGCAGGGTTAATCAATAACTTTCCATCTGTCAAATTTTAACCAAAGGTTAAAAAATACACCAAATGGTTCAGAGCCTTAAAGTAGCAAAAGTTGAGTTCACGAGGTTTCCTAGATAAAAGTTTCCTTAACGAAAGAAAGGTTCCAGCACGAGAGCTACAAATCTTCATAGATTTATCATTGCTGTTATTTTATGCTGGAGATTGATTTATGCTATCTTAACAGTAATCATAATTAATAACTACTCACAGATGCACCATCTACAGCATAAATTTAACAGCAACGTAGAAACCAAATTGGTAATGATCTGTAAAACGCCAGAGGTACTCTGAGTTGAACGCATAAAGCGAATCCATATAGGTACATATGTATCTTTTTATTGGTATTTTTTCTTTTTTGAATTTAAGTTTCATCATATCCATAATTTTGCTCTTATCTAGCCTCGTACTTGAGACTTAAGAAGGGCGACCGAGTGCCTCGGAGAAAGGAGAAAGGTGGAGGTTTTGATTTGGTTACTTACTAGAAGTTTGGGAACTTCGTTTGGCCCGAGGTTTTGCCCGCGAATGTTTAGAATTTTTTTTAGAAATTGTTCAGGGTATTTCCTGAAATTTGGGAAAGTAAAGTATGATATGAGATAAATAAAAGAACAAAAATTATGGTGCTTGGAAAATATTGACAGAACTTTTGGAAATGAATCGCATGAATGTAGATGTTCAGCTGTAGAGTACGGTGCTGCTCATAATGCAGCATCGATAAACTTCAAATGTTTTCCAACGTACCATATCAACTAGATTAGCAAATAATAGGGACCTAGAATGAGGAACTAGAAATTGTCTCTTGGGCCTGGTTTTGACCAGATCAGCAACCGATTATAGATTAAAAAAAAAACTCCACGGAAAAACAAACGTCAGGTTCGATCACACGCATAGCCTACTCCTCCAAACTCGCCAGAACTTCGCCCAATAGAAAAATTCTGGGCGATTATGAAGGGCAAGCTCCGGAAAAAAGGGAAGGTCTTCAAAAACGAAAAGGATTTGAAGAAAGAGTGGATGAACGTGTATAAGAAATATGGCGCCAGTGTTGCACAGGATTTGATGGGTAGCGTTAAGTTCAAGGTGCGTGCAAAAATATAGCTAATATGTGTTTATTTATTCCCTGAGTGTTTCAAAAATATCCGACTTCAAATGAATTTTTTGAGATCATTTTTGTCTGTTGGTTTTTTTTTCAAGTACAGTCTTTAATCATTATCTAGTCATTTTCGCCCGAAAACGCCAAGCGATTCCCTTCCTTCGCTTCTATCACCAATCTCTCAGTCAGTCAACGCAATTTTTCTCTCTTTTCTTCGTCTGTTCCTACCTTAGGCAGGACAGAACACCTGGATTCTTTTTATTCATCTTCGCAGGATCTTCATTCGCTCCTGCAGTCATTGTTGAATATCATCCACGCTGAATCAATAGAAACAGTTCTGCCAGTAATTTTGTACACATTCAAAACAAAAATTAAAACAATCACAAACTTGAAAATCAACCAATCAGCGACTGGATCAAAAACTGGATCCAAATCCCAAGTTGTCTCCCCCTAGGTTCCTCCAAACTAAGCCAGCTACGGTGGACGATTTGTATGACTACTTGTACACTGCGTATCTCTTCAATGCTAGGTATATTCGCGTTGCCGCGGTTATGCGGCAATTTTCAAACGAATTGCGATACTAATACTCAACTCTCGCACAAGAAGCGGCGATGATGGCGCAATTGGCACATGTTTAGCAATAAAATTAATACTTGGAAGGATGATTTTTTAAGCAATGCATTTTGTAGCATAGCATCTGTAAGTGCACACTTAGAATTAACTAAATTACTAATTTGGAGTTTATTAAACTCTTCTTTTGGATATACTGACCATACGTGGCATGAATTTATACACGCAAATCAAATGGCATAAATATATGATCCAAGTGTAGATTTCTTACATCTGCTGCAATCTGTAATAGAATCCTACATTTTCCGGCTGGGTGCAGCACACACTTTTTCAACTTCTCAATTTTTAAAATTTAGATTTAAATATAAATGCTCAAACACCATCAGCTTATGTGCTCAATCCCATACATGATTGTTCATAGCAATCAAGAAAACGGAAAGACGCCTCAAAAGCGATTCCGAATTTACATACACTCACACACACGCACATACCATCTTACGCTCCCTTCGTTAGTAACCCAGCCCGCGCGGGTCTATCGGATCGCCTTCGCGCAGCTTCAGCGAGCTCAGTTTCGTTCGAGACACTGCCCGGATCAAGACGCGGTGTGCGCGCGTGGTTGTAGGATAGAAATTGTTTGAATCAAGCGATTCTTGTAAAATATCACCACCGAGGGGCTCGACGATTCACGAATATATTGCGGGTTGTGGTTCGCGAGTGACGTACACACGCTAGGATCGTCGCGTTGTGACAAGTGTCTCGGTTTGTGGGGTGTTTGTGCATGTGCGATTCAATTACAATAGAATCCAGTGTTCTTGGAGTGCACATATAGTGAGTGACAACAGCCAAACTAGGCGACGACGAGAAGGCGAAAAGAGAACATGAATAGCAGCACCACGACCACCACCATTCGCCACCATCAGGATTCGCTGACCTTGGATGACATGAAGGCGTTGGGGAGGCGGGAGAATCTCGTCGCCAAGATGTCCAACAACGGTAGCAACAGCGGTGCTAATAATAACAATGTTGCGTTAATTAACAATAACAACAACAATAGTACAGCAAGCAATAATAACAAAGTGACCATCGGTGGCAGCAATGTGACGTTTGCGACGGCAGCGGCATCGGCTACTGCTGCTGTGGCGGCTGCTGCGGCGGCAGTGGCGTCGGAGATCGAAGACAACAAGCTCGGCGCCAACGATAAGGAGAAGCTCACCAAAGCGGTGATGAAGGTGTTCGAGGAGTACAAGTGGACTCCGCCTACTAATGTTGTCAAGTAAGTCAGTCGGGGTGGGGGAGGGGATTTAAACGAACGATCGAATGATCGATCGCTATTGGGCCGTGTGTGCTGATCGATGGAAGCGTTCTCCATTGGTTTTGTTTTGTTTCATATCAATTTGCTGACCGTGCGATGATTATTAATTAGATGAATTGTGATTGACATGCTCAATCGTTAATAACAGAAAGCAGAGAACAATTTACTGTGTTATCTTATTTTTTGCTTACGGTTAGAAATAGCGAGGTGCGCTGAAACCAAGGAATTATTAAATGCAACGGAAGTACTAGCGTACGCAGAAGAGGAGAGAGAGCAACTCCCTAACTGATTCCACCGTTTGTGTATTTGTATCTTTGGGACAACGCGTTGCGTGGATCCGTATGCATATAAGCGACTTTTAATAGTCTAAAAGCAATCTACTGCAAATTTTGCTCAAACGATTAATAGATTAGCAGAAGGAGCTGGTGTCTTCGAAAAAGTTTCTCATCGTTATTTTCTGTACTGCCTATAATCGATAACGCTAATCGCATATCAGTCCCATCCTTAAATGCAATCGTCCAGAGGTCAAGTTGCAGTTCTGCTTTAAGAATCGTATAGCTAGTGTACCTGGTAAACATGAAATTTGAAATAGTCTGCGACCCTGATATGATCATTCTTCTTTGAAGATTGATCATTCTTCTTGAAGTGTGTAGGATAGGCCTACATTTTGCCGAAGACATCATATCAAGAAGACTGGCAACTTTGCCAGACAGCGACAGATACAGTAGAGCAGCACTTGAGTGAAGGTGGAAGTAACGTATAGAAAAATAAGCTAATACACAAACCTTTCTTCTGAGGATGTAATAATTGCTATAAAATTCGTTCGAAGCATTTACTTTTGAGCGACAGATGACGCAATTGTACCTGCCTCATAGCGGTCGTACGAGAAAATGGGAAAGTTGCCAGTCTTCTTGATATGTTGTCTTCGATTTTGTTCTAATTTTTGAACAATTCGAAATTGACGACCTTGTATAGAGTTTTTTGACGTCGTTTCTCTATCTACAGTATGTCCACTCATTTGGCTGAATAAAGTTCCCTGAGTTTTCCAGGTCTTTCCATAACTTTGGCGGATAATTCCCAAGTTTACAATGAGAAAGCTATTTATGAAATGCGTTTAAACATTTCATTTGTTTGCTGAGATTCAGCTAAGCATTATCCGAGACTCAGCAAACAAATGTCACTTTTGTTAAGATCTCAGTACCGAGATTTGCACAGCCGAGCTCGGTAGAAAAAACTAAGTGTGTAAGTCTAAGGTTTAAAGGTGTTCACGAGAATTCCATTTATTTTAAAGCAAAACCGAGATCTTCATTAGAATTGAGAGCTTTAGGGAAGCTCCGAGAACATCAAGACAGATCGTAGAATTAAAGGGCAGTTGAAAAAATTGAGGAGCCTCATAGCCTAGTCAGTAAAGGTACGGTATTACCAAGCCGGAGGCGGTGGGTTCGATTCCGGTTCCGGTCGATGGAATCTTTCGGGTTGGAAATTTTCTCGACTTCCCTGGGCATAGAGTACCATTGTGCTTGCAAATATATTTCAAATATATTACAAATTCATGCATTGGTATTGGCATCGAAAGCTCTCAATTAATAACTGAGGAAGTGCATTTAGAACACTAAGTTGAGAACACGTAATAAGCTCATAAGCACTAAGCAATAAGCTTGAAATTCGAATAATAAGAAGAAGAAGTAAAAAAAAATCAACGAAATTGCAGAAATCTTAAAGGTTTCAAGAAAATTTGCGGAAACTTCGGTTTGCTCAGAGAAAATTTCTGGAACGCAATAAAAATTAAATTAACATCCGGAAAATCTAAGAGCATGTCAAGGGTGTAATATCATAGAAATATCAAGATCCAAAAAAATCCCAAAATTTAGCTAAGTTGATTAGAGTACATCAACGGAGTTCCATTAATTAAAAAGATTCGAGAACTTTTAGCAAGCACCGATATTTTCAAGAAACTCCAGAAAACTACTAAGAAAATTTGATATTTTTAGATTGTTTTGTTATATTCAGTGAAGTACTTTGAGGACGATCAGATGACATCAGAAAAATCCCATTAACTTAAGAAAATTAGCAGCGACTTACAAGGAGTTCCTTTGAATTATGGGATATTCCGAGAATTCTATGATTGATCGGAAAACTTTAGAAGATGTAGGGAATTATAAATATATATCAGAAAATTTACCGGAACATTTGATCAATTAAGGAAAATTAAGGTAAGCATAGAAAACTTTAGGGCTGGACTTTTCAGGGAAAATTAGTAATTTATGGCTCTAGAATTTCAGGGGAGTTTAATTCTATTAGTTTTACTAAATTAGTGGAAAATTTCAATAAGTTCCCAAATTTTCGGAGAACTTGAGAGATGTTAAGAAAATTATTTAGGTTTTCATATAAGTCCAAAAGTTCACGGAAGCTTAAACATTTTTAGAACAGTTCAGTTAAATTCAGGGTAGTACAACAAGCTTCATGAGAACTGCAAACACTTTAGAGAAGTTTCGAGAACTTGAAAAAAGATATTGAACGTCAAGAAATAACCGATATCCTCAGAGCAGTGAATTGTTAAACTTTAGAGAAGATTCATGATCGTTAGGAAAATTGTGGAAACTTTAGGAAGTCCGAAAAAGTTTAGAGAAGTTAAAAACAATGATGAGATGTATTGCGAGCATCAGGCTAGTTTCTCAAACTACAAGAGAACAAAAGGCAGTTTCATTAACTTCAGGAATATTTAGGGAACTTTCAAGTTGTTCAGAAGACCTCAGAACAGTCGATTGCATATTCAACGGAGATTTATTATGCAAATTCGCTTGGAGTTCTCCTCATCATTCGCTCGTATTCTCCGTGTTGTTATATTGTCTCCTATAACTCCGCAAAGTGTCACCAAGTGAGCCTAGTAAATAAACGAACTAGTTAAAAAAAAAGACAATATCATACATTTCTGGTCAGGATAATTGCACGCGAACTTCAGGAATGGTCCAAGAGCAACATAAACAAATCTTCAGGGCAGTTCCATTTATTTCAAGTCAATTGTAGTAACTTAATAGTAGCTCCGAAAACCTCAACAAACAGCAAAGTTACGAGAGCATCTGGAAATTGGCGGAACATCAAGAGAATGCGGGAACAGTTTTAGAAAAGTTCCGAAAACTTCAGAGCAAGTTCGAAAACTCAAGAAAAAATGCAAGTCCTCAGTAAAGATCATGGGAGTCATGGGTGCCCGCGCTACGACGGACCAAATTTTCGCGATTCAGCAGGTTCTGCAGAAATGCCGCGAATACAACGTGCGTACACATTATTTGTTCATCGATTTCAAATCCGCATACGACACAATCGATCGAGATCAGCTATGCATGAGTACGGATTTCCGGATAAATTGACGCGATTGGTCAAGGCAACGATCGATCGAGTGATGTGCGTTGTACGAGTATCAGGGACACTCTCGAGTCCCTTTGAATGTCGAAGAGGGATACGGCAATGTGATGGACTTTCGTGTCTGCTATTCAACAACGTGTTAGAAGGTGTGATCAGAAAAGCTAGGAGTGGCACGATCTTCAGGAAGTCCATCCAGCTTCTTGGCTTCGCCGATGACATCGACATTATGGCACGGAACTTTGAGACGGTGGCGGAAACGTACATCAGACTGAAGGCTGAAGCTAGGTGGATTGGATTGGCTTTGAACATCGAAATTCTAGGGAAGACAATGTTAGCCTCCCACCCCGAGTTCTGATTGACAGTGACGAAATCGAGGTGGTCGATGAGTTCGTATATTTGGGCTCACTGGTGACCGCCGAAAATGATACCAGCAGAGAAATTCAAAGACGCATTATGGCAGGGAATCGTGAGGACGCTCCGGTCAAATAAAAATCGCCGCCACACGAAGTTGACTGTCTACAAGACGCTGATTAGACCTACGGCCACGAGACCTGAACTGTGCTCGTGGAGGTTTCGAACGGAAGGTGTTGCGTACCACCTACGGTGGAGTGCAGATGGATGATGGAATGTGGAGGAGGCGAATAAACCACGAATTGCACCAGCTACTAGGAGAATCATCCATCGTCCACGCTGCAAAAATTGGGCGACTACGGGGGGCATGTCGTAAGAATGCCGGACGATGAACCAGTATTTTTTTTCTAAAAAGTGACCCAACAGAAACAAGAAGAAGAGGCGCGCAGTGGGCAAGCTGGATCGACCAAGTTGAAGGGGACCTGCGGACCCTTTGCAAACTACGAGGCTGGTGACGTATCATCAGCATCAAGGCCTTAGTCTGATTGGTAAGGTAAGTTCAGCAAAGTTCAGAAAATTTCAAGGCAGTTCTATTAGTTTCAGACAACTGAAAAAACCTTCGAGGTAGTTCAGTAATTTCCTGCGAAAGTTAATGGTTAATTTTATTAACATTAGATACGTTTAATGCACTTTGAGGGAAGATCAGATAACTTTAAAGCAGTTACATTAATTTCAAAAAGTTGCAGGTACCTAGTAGGAACTAAGGAAATTCCAGAGAATTTCAGAGATATTCCGAAAACTGGAGAACTGCATTAACTCCAGGAAAGTTCCATAAATTTCAGGATGATTGCCGAGACATTAAGCTTCTTAGACATTCATCGCGCCTGAAGTTTTACGAACCTCAAACCCCAATCTAAGCTAATCCAACACCAACACAGCCAGTTCTTGGAAGCACCATGGAAAATGATTGATATGCCTCAATCATTTGTCTTGTCTATTTGATATATGTTGCACATCAAAGATGCGTCACACATGCCAAAGCCGCCAGGCCTACTGTGCAGCATTTAAGGGGTAAGATGACTCAGAAAACATGGGGCCTGTTTATCGAAGATTTAAACACGATACTGCAGAATCGTGCACATCTCGTACCGTAAGCTCCGTTTTTGATTATTATATGATTCGTTGGTCGTTGGAAGCATCTAAGCTAGAAAGGTGCACTAAACTAAGGACACGGGATATAGATCAAT